GCATCTTAAGCGAGAATCATGCCCGTAGACCAACGAGCAACTGCAAAACAGCCACTTTACATGGCAACACTATCTGCTGACAAACCGGCATTCTCAGAAAAAAGGCCTCTGTGTAAGCCACAACGCCCTTACAAAACAAAAGACAACTGTAAGGGTTCAACTGAAATTTGAACCTAGGATTTCTCATGGCATGAACGAGAATCAAACTCCTAGAACAGCAAGCCACTATGCAAAGGAATGTTTTATGTGGCGACACTATCTGCTGACAAACTGGAATTCTTCGAAAGACATTTTAATGAAAGACATAGTGCCCTGTAAAACACATAACACCTGTAAGGGCTCATCCGGGATTTGAACCCAGGACCTCTCACACCCGAAGCGAGAATCATACCCCTAGACCAACGAGCCACTAAGTTGAATTCATTTCACATGATGTCAGAAGCATCAGATAGTCAGAAAACTTTCTCTAACGAATCAAGGGCACCCTAAGCGAGAATCATACCCCTAGACCAACGAGCCACTGCAAAACAGTAACTTTATATGGCAACACTATCAGCTGACGAACTGGCATTCTTAGAAAAAAGGCCTCTGTGTAAGCCACAACGCCCTTACAAAACAGCGGACAACTGTAAGGGCTCAACCGAAATTTGAATCTGGGATTTCTCACGGCATGAACGAGAATCATAGTCCTAGACAACCAAACCACTGAACCAACTGGAATTCTTCGAAAACGTTTTTTATGAAAGCCATAATGCCCTGTAAAACAAAAGAATAACTGCAAGGGCTCGTCCGGGACTTGAACCCGGGACCTCTCGCACCCTAAGCGAGAATCATACCCCTAGACCAACGAGCCACAAAAGCTTGAATATTTTACAAGACATCAGAAGGAACAGATGGTCAGAAATCCTTATCTAACAAACATTGAAGCAGGGCTTTTGCTTCATTTGGACCCGGGACTTCTGCAATGGTTCGTCCAGGATTTGAAAACGAGACCTCTCGCATCTTAAGCGAGAATCATGCCCGTAGACCAACGAGCCACTGCAAAACAGCCACTTTACATGGCAACACCATCTGCTGACAAACCGGCATTCTCAGAAAAAAGGCCTCTGTGTAAGCCACAACGCCCTTACAAAACAAAAGACAACTGTAAGGGTTCAACTGAAATTTGAACCTAGGATTTCTCATGGCATGAACGAGAATCAAACTCCTAGAACAGCAAGCCACTATGCAAGAAATATTTTATGTGGCGACACTATCTGCTGACAAATTGGAAATCTTTGAAAGACGTTTTTCCGAAAGACATAATGCCCTGTAAAACACAGTACACCTGCAAGGGCTAATCCAGGAACTGAACCCGGGTCCTCTCGCAACCGAAGCGAGAATCATACCCATAGACCAATGAGCCACTAAATTGAGAGAATTTCACAAGACGTCAGATGGTCAGAAATCTTTCCCTAACGAATCAAGGGCACCCTAAGTGAGAATCATACCCCTAGACCACCGAGCCACTGCAAAACAGCAACTTTATATGGCAACACTATCTGCTGACAAACTGGCATTCTCAGAAAAAAGGCCTCTGTGTAAGCCACAACAACCTTACAAAACAGCAGACAAGTGTAAGGGCTCAATCGAAATCTGAATCTGGGATTTCTCATTGCATGAATGAAAATCATACGCCTAGACCAGCAAGCCACTATGCAAAGGAATGTTTTATGTGGCGACACTATCTGCTGACAAACTGGAATTCTTCGAAAGACATTTTAATGAAAGTCATAGTGCCATGTAAAACACATGATACCTGCAAGGGCTCGTCCAGGATATGAACCCGGGACCTCTCTCAACCAAAGCGAGAATCATACCCCTAGGCCAACGAGCCACTACATTGATAAAACTTCACATGGCGTTAGAACCATCAGATAGTCAGAAAACTTTCTCTAACGAATCAATGGCACCCTAAGCGAGAATCATACCCCTAAACCAACTAGCTACTGTGACAGCCACTTTACATGGCAAAACTATCTGCTGATGAACTGGCATTCTCAGAAAAAAGGCCTCTGTGTAAGCCCGTAGACCTTACAAAACAGCAGACAAATGTAAGGGCTCAACCGAAATTTGAATCTGGGATTTCTCATTGCATGAACGAAAATCATACTCCTAGACCAGCAAGCCACTATGCAAAGGAATGTTTTATGTGGCGACACTATCTGCTGACAAACTGGAATTCTTCGAAAGACATTTTAATGAAAGTCATAGTGCCCTGTAAAACACATGACACCTGCAAGGGCTCGTCCGGGATTTGAACCCGTGACCTCTCACACCCAAAGCAAGAATCATACCCCTAGACCAACGAGCCACTACTGTGATAGAATTTCACATGGCGTCAGAAGCATCAGATAGTCAGAAAACTTTCTCTGACGAATCAAGGGCACCCTAAGCCAGAATCATACCCCTAGACCAACGAGCCACTGCAAAACAGTAACTTTATATGGCAACACTATCTGCTGACAAACCGGCATTCTCAGAAAAAGGCCTCTGTGTAAGCCACAACGCCCTTACAAAACAAAAGACAACTGTAAGGGTTCAACTGAAATTTGAACCTAGGATTTCTCATGGCATGAACGAGAATCATACTCCTAGACCAGCAAGCCACTATGCAAGAAATATTTTATGTGGCGACACTATCTGCTGACAAATTGGAATTCTTTGAAAGACGTTTTTACGAAAGATATAATGCCTTGTAAAACACAGTACACCTGCAAGGGCTCATCCGAGAATTGAACCCAGGTCCTCTCGAAATCGAAGCGAGAATCATACAGATAGACCAATGAACCACTAAATTGAGAGAATTTCACAAGGCGTCAGATAGTCAGAAATCTTTCCCTAACGAATCAAGGTCACCCTAAGTGAGAATCATACCCCTAGACCACAGAGCCACTGCAAAACAGCAACTTTATATGGCAACACTATCTGCTGACGAACTGGCATTCTCAGAAAAAAGGCCTCTGTGTAAGCCACAACGACCTTACAAAACAGCAGACAACTGTAAGGGCTCAACCGAAATTTGAATCTGGGATTTTTCATTGCATGAACGAAAATCATACTCCTAGACCAGCAAGCCACTATGCAAAGGAATGTTTTATGTGGCGACATTAACTGCTGACAAACTGGAATTCTTCGAAAGACATTTTAATGATAGACATAGTGCCCTATAAAACACACAACATCTGCAAGAGCTCGTCCGGGATTTGAACCCAGGACCTTTCACACCCAATGCGCGAATCATACCCCTAGACCAACGATCCACTAAATTGAATTTATTTCACATGACCTAATTAACGGAGATGATCCTCTAAGAAGAAGAATACTCCTCTATTTAGCATGGCAGGTGAAGAGCGGGATGCGCGGGTAAGTGGTTACTTGATTTCTATAGTGGTTTATGTATGCAAAGATTAAGTATCAAACGTTTGTTAAAGCAATGGCTGCTGTTGTTTATAATGTAAACTTTATAACGTAAATTAAGTCCGTTATTAAGCCAACATGGCGAGTGAAGAACGGGATGGTCGTGTAAAATAGCATGGCTTCTGTCATGGTCGATTCTAGGATTGTCATTCAAGGGAGCTCAGCTATAAATTTGATCGAGGACTAATTTGGGGGTGGAATCGATCGCGTACTAAAGTGAAGACCGGGAGAGCGTAATGCCGTTTTGGGTGTGGGTGGGTATGGGGGGTGGAGAGAGGAGATGATCGCCGACTGTAAGGAACGGGCGGGGTGGGGGTCGGCAGTGTTGATCGCGGACTATGAAGATAACAAATGATAAAAGGTATAATTGGTATTTGTCTTACAGGCACTGTCATCAGAAGTAGAAATAGCAGCAAAAGCTCTGATCGATGTATTAGCCAGGGGCCTTACTCCATCTTCGTAAAGATATGCACTAGCTAGTGGTAGTAGACCAATGAGAGAAAGCATCTCAAGTGGGACCATTCCTTTGCCTGCAGAGCCTGAAAACATGGTAAGGCAAGCCTTAAAAAGGTAATTTTTCATGTTTACTGTAAAACACAATTTTTTGTGTCATGCAAAAAATGTTTCTTATTAATAATATGTTTATTCATTTTGCCCTTTTGTCACTATAGGCAATTCCCAAGTATGTTTGGGACAGAGATTTTTCTGTGGCCAAACCTGGAAACATTAAAAAAACTGATTTTCAAATCCATGTCCTCTCTGAACCATCACTCTTCACACCAAAAGGAGATGAAGACCTTGAGCTTGTCCATGCTGGACTTGGAAAAAGGCTTTTAACTGTTTCAGATAATTTTAAACACAGTGAGGTAATTGCAAATGTTACCATAATACTAGGAATTGATGGGAGTTTTATATCTGTTGGAAAAAAAAAAAAAACTAAATGATGAATTTTGTTTCATTCTTAAGATCGTCAGTCTGCTTGAAGGAGAGTTTCCCAAATTAAAAACATTTCAGGGTGGCTGGATGTTTTACAAGTCTACAGGTATTTATGTTTTGCATGTTACATATAAACAAAAAATGATTTGTGTGCATTTGCAATAACTTTGCACTTTTGTAAATTAATGAAACTGGTATGTGCTTTGTTGGCGTTAATAATTTAGTAATAAGCTTCATTAGTTTAAACTTTTTAGTCAAGGGCTCCTAAAATCAGACTCCTAAAATCAGTGTCAAATAATGGAAAGAACATGCTGTTTGTAGTTCCATTACAGGAACAGCTTTCCACTGAACCATTACCTTATGATTCTGTGGAGTTTGCTAAGATGCCACAGTCCAGCTGTATAAAATGTGGTAAGAAAATACCACTGCCATTGCTGCCCTTACACGTTGAAGAGTGTAAAGAAGCTAAGACAGTAAGTCATACAGTATTATGGTTTTATTTTTCTATCAGTATTATTTATTTACAATGCCAATGCATTTTGATTACTTTTATTAGGAGTCTTCAAATGATGTGACCATTCTAGATGATGATGTAGACAAAAATGTAATCGAAACTGTTGACCAGCCAAGCTCACTTCACCCCATCTTAGAACCATCATTACAGGTCTTTGATCAAAGCCTATTTCTTGTATTTGGGTATACTCACTATATTTGAATATACCCAATTCGTGGTTCCATAAAGAATGTGTTTGAAGCTATTAAAAATTTGAGACTATTCTTAATATTTTAGAATCTTTTTATGGGGTAGAATATGTATGTTCTTCAACAAATTTGCTACAAACATACATTGTTTAATTTATTTTTACTTTTTACAGATTTGTCCAATTTGCCAGATCTCTTTCCCAACTGATGTCTTGCCTTTTCATGCAAGCATGTGTGGTGAAGGGTAAAGTTATGCTAAAAATTGTAGGATGACATGCCTTTAATACTAAAGGATTAGTTTGCACAGTTTGTTTTGGTTGTATATATCTCGAGGGAGATGTATAAAGATCAGATGGAATGTAGGGTAAAAAATTAACAAAATAGTTTTCTGGTGGACTGTCTTAAATTTAAATTAATGTGTTGGTTTCATAAACTGGGTCAGTAGTAGACATTATTAGATTTGATGTATGTAGCTTTTATAAGCCTTGCTTTGAGAAAATCATTACTGGTGACTTTTGACATTAATGACTTTGTCTGGCACTAGAGTCTAAGCCTTGTCTATGAAACTGGGCAAATGCTTTTAATATGCATGAAAATTTTTGAAGTGGCTTAATGAACAAAATTGAAATTGTTTGTGTCTTGCCTGTTTTAGAGAAAGGACTTTTGGTGACAATGATTCTTCATTCACTTTAAATACAGAAGAATTGCCAGGACCCTCAACTGCACAATCTTCAACATCCCTGTCTGCAGGTTAGACACAACACATTTAATTTTTTTTTAGTGCTGTTGTACTGTAAAATGATAAGTGCATCTTTATTCATTTATTCTTTCATCTTTTTTGTATTGTTATTCAACTATGCTTGTAAAATGGTATTTAGATAAATTGTTCATTTGATTTCAGCATGGAAAAATGAAATTGACCCATTCAAATCATCTCGAATGTTCTGTGATGAGTTGCTCTCCATCAATTCACACTGTCCATTTCTATCATTACTCATCAACCAGTTTGATACTATGGATGAACAAGATAGTACCCTGGTTTCATTTTATAAAATGAACAGTGCTAATTGGTCCACTCCATTGAAATATAGATTGACTGGTACTCCTTTTTTTTATTATTAAAATAATTTAAATCGCTTATAGTCTGTACAGTTTGTGCAACGAACTTGCTTCATTTTGTATTTTTTTTTAGGAGATGCAGCTGTTGGCAAGGGAGTTAACCGCCATATTTTGTCAATGATGATGCAAAAACTGAAGACTGGCTTCACTTTAAATTTGGGTTTGTAATTGGTTGCAGTTCGGTTACATGTGCACACACACACGCACACACACACACACACACACACATATATATATATATATATATATATATATATATATATATATATATATATATATATATATATATATATATATATAAAGTTAATTTTCGTCAACACTGCCTGTAACCCTGACCTTTTTCTGTATGATTTCGTGCACTGTACTTGAGAAGGCTTTTGCACACCTGATAAGATGTAAAATGTTCATAACATTATCTTTCTATTTACTGGTGGGCAATGCAGATCGATGCTGACTGGTACCACCACAGTGCATACAGAGAAAACATTTGTTTAGAATTTTACAGATGTGATTTGATGTTTTATGTCTCTTTTGCTTTTGGGCTATTACAGATTTTATACAACTAGTACTATTAGTTAATTCCTACTGATTAGATTTTTTAGTTTCATCTACTACAGCACTTTTTGAGGGGGAAAAAAACCACCGTGTACCTTCTGCATCTGCTGTACTACGGGACAGCAACCTGTTCCAGATGGCTGGCCGGATGATAGGCCATTCATTTTTGCATGGAGGTCCTAGTCTTTCTGGACTGAGCATATCCGTGGTCATACTTCTAACTGGAGGGAATGTTGACAGTGCAGCTTCAGCTCTGTCACTGAATGATTGCCCTGACCTAGACCACAGGGAAACCATTAGTTTGGTGAGTACCCTAGACTGTATGTTTTCAGGTCCTTGGGCGTGTGAAAGGCCAAATAAAGGACTTAAGAAAAGGAATAAAAGACACAGGCATATGGCCCCTTCTATGTCAAAGGTCTGACAGTCACAACATAGTGTTCCCACGGGAGACTGCACTGCAAATTTTAATTAGTAGATTTAACTACCTTAGAGTTAAAATTAACACTCCCTCAGAGTTTATATGGGAACCACTATAAGTGTTAAAAATAACACTTTTGAAAGTGTTAACATTGTCAACACCAAGAGAGTGTTAATTAGCAAACTCTTATTGTGTAAAATATCTGTTAAATTTCCGAAAAAATACCAGCAGCTGTGGTTGCCAGAATCTTTCTGTGAAAAACATGGAATATTTATATAACTGTATAAATTTACAAAAAAATAACCATATTTCATGAACTAATACAATGTTCAATTTACAAAATCATAGCTTAATGCAAAAAATGTAAAGTCTTTAGATGCAGTAATGTTTTCATGTGTGACTGCAATTAGCAAACAGATTTTGACTGCATTAGTAACTACACAGTTACCTTTAAACAAAAGACGCTGCAGCATAACATCTAATACTCTCAGTTCTTCTCGGACTTGAACACAGACGCTACTATCCTCCACAATGGTGACACAAAAACCGTTTTGATGGTTTTCTTTTTTTTTTTTTCATTTTTAGATTTTACGGAAAAATACCAGCAGCTGTGTTCGCCAGTAATCTGCTGTTTTTAACATTCATAAATTCAGTTTACAGAATATTTCTGTTAAAAACACATTCAACAGTCTGTATTTTTTTATCGAACGCACACTGCAAATTTTAGATTTGGTAGATTTAACTACCTCAGAGTTAAAATTACGTCACCGACTCGGTCCCGGTCATTCCCCTCGCTGGCCAGCAGAGGCCACCATCTCCGGACTTTTAGCATTACATCATCCATTTACACTGATTGCGCAGACACCTGATCTCAATCTGGTTAACGACCCACGTACCTCATATAAGCCGCACTCAAACACTCAGTCAGTGCGAAGTCTTGTTCAGCCCCGGCCAGCATTACTGAGCGTTATTCCCAGCCTGATCTCTCGTGTACGACTCTAGCCTGTCTCTTACTTTGCTTCGCCTTCTGCCTGCCCACGAACCACGCCTGTTGTACGGACTCTGATTCTCGCTGCCTGCCCTCAACCCAAGCCTGAATATCGGACTCTGATTCTCGCTCTCTCCCCTCCACTCATGCCTGGTAACTCACTCTGTGTCTGTCCATCACCATTCTTGATACCCATACTACTACTGTGGATGTGTGTGTGCACTCCGGTGCATATTGTGTGTTTGAGTGACATTGTGATTAATAAATACTGCATAATGGATCCCTCCGTGTCAGTCTCCTCGTTACAGAAGACTTCGCCTGACATGGATCCCGCAGCCATACAGGTTTTGTCTCACAAGATCACAACGCAAGCTCAGGTATTGACCACACATCAGCAACAGTTAACACACCTAATTCAGTTGACAGATGAACTGGTGAAATCGCTGCAAAACCTGTAAGCTGCTCCCACCGCGCAACTCACCGCCAATTACTCTCCTGCTCAACCCTCTGTGACACAGACCCAGGTTGCTTCTGGTGTTCGTCTGGCATTCCCCGACAAGTTCTCAGGTAACACAGCCAAATGCAAAGGTTTCTTACTACAGTGCAAACTATTTATCGCCCAACAACCTCATTTGTTTAAAGATGAGAACGGGAAAATTGCCTTTGTATGTTCCCTGCTAACAGGAAAAGCTCTAGACTGGGCTTCTGCTGTATGGCAGGACAGCACTCCGATATTCCCCTCATTCAATGACTTTCTCAAACGATTTTGCACTGTGTTTGACCATCCTGAGGGTGGTCGTAATGCTGGTGAGGAGCTTTTGTGTTTACAACAGGGAGATCGACCCGCAGCTGAATTCGCTCTACAGTTTCGCACACTGGCAGCACAAACAGGCTGGGCTGATGATCCACTCACTACACTTTACAGAAGAGCCCTGAGACCTGAACTGCAGAAAGAGATGGCTTGTCGAGATGAGGGGAAAACATTAGATCAAATCATTGAACTCCCCATCAGGTTAGACGCGTTACTTCGCACACGTAACCCTTTGTGCTCTGTCACTTCCAGTCCTGTATCCCCTGAATCTCTCACGGAGCCCATGCAACTGGGTAGAGCCCGTCTAACCCCTGAGGAGCGTGAACGACGAAGGAGAAACCACCTATGCCTATATTGCGGATTTTCTGGACACACGAAGATCCTGTGTCCCAACAAACGGCTCTTCCGGTGAGTGCCACCTCTGTATTCACGACTACCAATGATATCCTATGTGTGCCCATCTGCTTAAAACATGAGGAGGTTGAAATCTCAACTGTGGCTATGATCGATTCAGGAGCCGCTGGCAACTTTATTAACTACACGTTTGCTTCAACCCACTCCATTCCTCTAACCTCCTGTGATTCCTCTCTAGCCATTACTGCTATAGACGGGCGCCCCCTGGGGGAAGGACACATAAAATTCCGAACTCTGCCGATAACTCTTCAAACAGGCTCTCTCCATGTAGAGAAGTTGTCCCTCCTCGTTATTGATTCTCCACGACACACAATCATTCTCGGACTCCCCTGGTTAAAACTCCATGACCCTCAAGTTTCCTGGAAAACTGGTGAGATTACTAGATGGAGCGATCATTGTGTTAACCATTGTCTGCATTCTGTTTCCCCTGTCCAGATAAACACTATAACCAGCATCGATGACTCAGAGATCTGTCACATTCCTGAGGCTTATTAAGATTTACTCGAAGCTTTCAATAAGCAAAAGGCCACGAAACTTCCACCTCATCGTGAGTATGATTGTGCCATTGAACTTTTGCCTGGTACCACGCCCCCTCGTGGTCGAATCATCCCTCTCTCTCAACCAGAAACCGAAGCCATGAATACATACATCTCAGAGGAACTGGAAAAGGGCTTCATACGACCTTCTACCTCACCTGCATCAGCTGGGTTTTTCTTCATCAAAAAGAAGGACGGCAGCTTATGTCCCTGCATTAACTACAGAGGACTCAACGAAATTACTGTCAAGTATCGATATCCCTTACCACTAGTTCCAACAGCCCTCGAACAACTCCGCTCCGCCCAATACTTCATGAAGTTGGATCTTCGCAGTGCTTATAACCTCATCTGCATTCGTCAGGGAGACGAGTGGAAGACCAGGTTCTCTACCATTAACGGCCACTATGAATACCTTGTTATGCCCTTCGGCCTAGCTAACAGTCCTTCCGTGTTCCAGGCTTTCATAAATGAGGTGTTTAGAGACATGCTCAACCAGTGGGTCATCGTTTACATTGACGACGTCCTTATTTACTCCATCTCCCTATCGGAACATATCCAGCACGTCCGAGCAGTACTAAAACGCCTTATCCAGAACCAGCTATATGCCAAGAGGTCTAAAAGTGAGTTCCATCAAATTTGTATTTCATTCCTGGGCTATATTATCAGTTCTGAGGGAGTCGCCATGGACCAACAAAAAGTCACTTTTGTTACCCAATGGCCCCAGCCTGAAACCATCAGACAGTTACAACTTTTCCTGGGATTCGCCAACTTTTACCGAAGGTTCATTCGGAACTTCAGTACAGTAGCTGCTCCCCTTACGGCCATGGTAAAGGCTAACAACGCCCGTCTTAGGTGGAACTCAGACGCCATTAAGGCATTCAACCAGCTCAAAGCCCGTTTCTCAAGTGCTCCCATTCTGTGTCATCCAGATCCCAGTCAACCATTTGTAGTGGAGATCGACGCCTCCAATTCCGGCATTGGAGCCCTTCTGTCACAAAGATCTATAACCACAAACAAGCTCCATCCCTGTGCTTTCTACTCCCGTAAACTCAACCCCGCAGAGAGAAATTATGACGTGGGAAATCGCGAACTCCTCGCTATGAAGGCTGCCCTTGAAGAGTGGAGACACTGGCTTGAAGGCGCTAAACACCCATTTACCGTCATAACTGATCATAAGAACTTAGAGTACATTCGTTCCTGTAAACGTCTAAACCCCAGGCAAGCTAGATGGGCGCTTTTCTTTACTCGTCTGACTTCCAAGTCATGTATACCCCAGGCTCAAAGAACGTCAAGGCGGATGCCCTCTCTCGCCTCACGGATGACGAAACTCTTACAGAGGAGGTCGAACCCATTCTTAAGGACCCTCTCATTCTTGCACCCATACAATGGGATATTGAACACGAGATCTTACAGGCTTCTGAACAGAACCCCACTCCGCAGGCTTGTCCCAAGAGCAAGATCTTCGTTTCCCCA